GTTGACTTCCTATACACCTGAGTCTCGAACTTTCTAACATTATTCATCAAAGTAAGTTTTTTTCGAATTCATTCCTTTTTATGATATCTTCCACATAGTGGATCCAGATTTTGGTTTGATCACAGTTAAAATGATGGCTTCCAGCCTCTGCATCACTGCTTCTGCATTTAATCCAGATATCGGTCATACCATTGAAGTTCCTTTCATTCGTCTGTATAGCTTACCATTAAATTGGAGATACATAGTAGCCTTAACCAGCTGTAGTTCATTTAATGTGTGTTATGCTGTGACATCAACGAAAACATTTAATTGGTCATGTCCTATGTTAATGCTTTGATCATTTCCAAGAATTCCGCCTTTGAATTTGATGAAATATCCGCATGTTTTCACATAGTATTTTCATTGCCCCCCAAGGTTTTCTGGATAGATATGTAAATTAGTGTCCATGGAAGTGTATCTATGTGTGTTGTAGTTTTGGTTTGCCATAAAACTGAGGAAGAAAACGTCTACTCAATTTCATTCGCTATTTGTCTTGTTTTGTTTTTCTTCCTACGTTGATAAGCTTCTTCAACGTCTTGAGAATCATCCACCTGGGCTATGCAATTCTCCACCATTCACTAAAATATCTAAAACTTTTCTTCTTTTTCTAATTCTTTTGGTGATAGAAACTATTTAACAGGTTATTTTCGCTGATTTTTCGTTTCACTTCTAACGTCTGATTGGTTGTTTGCGTGCCCGTGACTAAATAAAATAAATAGTCCGAAAATTCGACCACAGAACATGTAGTGTTTATAAATGAATCCATAACTAGATCGAAGTGAAACCCACTTAGGAACTTTGTAAAGACTTGTGCAGTAGACTATAAGCAACACCTATTGCATGCGGACTAATTTCATTACTACATGATTGTCCAAATATCCGTAGATGGAGCGGTGTTCGGATCCACTACCCACTGGTGTGGAAGCCAGCCCCTAAACAGATGAGTCACAACTTCTTGTTAGACGCACAACCAATTGATTTCCCAAAATGATATCTACGTGTAGCACTTTACTAAACATGCTCAGACATATATGTTTCTGTACAGTTTATCTCACGTAGTAACGTTTGAGATAGACCATAACAATCAAATAATGCACATTTGAACATTTTGTTATTACTAGGCCCTGAATTGATGTGAACACGACAAGTTTGTCACGTGCATTGCTCAAGTTTTTTTCTCAACAGTTTGCAAAATTGTTTTCTCCATAATTTCTCTGAAATGATTAAAAGCTATCTCGAAAACAATAAAAGGCTCGGCTGGCTTTTGCCAGAGTACGCCACCTGTGGAGCCACCGTCATATCCGATTGTCTATTAAGGGTCCCGTGTACTGCACAGTAGTCCAGTCTCTTCTACTGTATAGATGTGAAGCATGGCTATTGGAGATGAAAGACTTGAGAAGGCTTCAGGTATTTGACCGCCGTCGCCTTCGTAGTATGGTGTCACCACATCAGTAACACAGAAGTCACGCTCAGAGTTTTAAAGAGAAGAGGTAAATCACTTGACACGGTCGCGAACCTTCATCGACTGAGGTGATTGGGTCATGTCTTACGTATACCTAGTCACACAATGTTGACCGAAGTAGGCACATGGTGGAGACTCTCAGCCAGACTAAAAATGACGTCAATGTATAAAGTGCTTGACTGTTGGCTTGAACCATGTGGGGTGATGCAGACTAGGTGGTTGGAGTCGGTAGGAAAAGATCAACAAGTGTTTGGAGACTGAGTCTAGATGATGACATGTCTGAGAACCGATGTCAGTGGTTCAGGTGTATACACAAACACACACACACATTTCCTCATCTTAACGACGCTATACCAAATCTCATCATTTTCCCATTCTCCTTTCTCTCTTTCAGTACTTCATATTTCTTTCGAGTGACTTTTCTTTCTTCATCTTCTATTTTATTGCCTTTTTACTTGGTGTAGTGATATGAGGTGTGGTGGCAACTCGACCTGTTACGCAGTAATCTCTGGTCCTATGTTGATGGTTGATGATGATGTTGATGAAAACAATAATGAAAACACCCAGCAAACATTTATTCATCAATTAATTTTAAGTGTTCATTTTTACCTTAGAGTAGTGAAACTTTACTTAACCCTTTTGTTTTTTTATTAAGTGTGGAGTTAATGTTATCATCTCGTGACTGATTTAACTTATTTCTAACTTCTCTACATTAAATATTTTATGAACCATTAAAAGAAGACTGTTCTTTTCAAAATGTTGTAAATTATGTATTGTAAACTATTGAAATTACTTCATAACCCACTGGTGTAATTTCATCAAGTGATCACCTACCAATTGAGTTGAAAATGATTAATTATTGTGATAATCAACATCCTCCACCTTCGCCCCCCCTCCTTAGAAAACTGGTTTCTCAATGTACAACACATCTTGGTTCAAAGAAATTTCTTCACTCATCTTGTGTTTAGTCACATTGAAGTATCTTTAAAAGATGTATATTTGTACGAACCATTCTAGTGGTTAATGATTCCATTCATCTGGTGATCAGTTATTAAAGTTGCTAGTTAATCACCAACAAGGTGGGAATATTTTTAACACAAGATATTTAACGAATAGATTCTTTTGCAAAGTGTTCTCTGTTGGCATGAAAGATAAACTCCTTTATCTACCTGCCTTTGTGTACATGTACTAGTTCAGTTGCTTGTATGAAGCTTAGTACAATGGTTGTAGGTAGAGTGAGCATGTTCCAGTTTGATTTTGTAAAGGCGAAAGAAAGGCTATTAGAAGTTCTATTCCAGAACACTTGATCGATTTCCATCACTTAAACAAACTTAGACAATGACTTTAAATTTTTTTAAATTTCGCTCAAACCTATGACGTTTTCTTTGATATCAGTCCATGATGAATGCTACCTTATAAATGAAATTCTCACTAGCTTCAAAATATGTCTCTGGAAAGTGCTTCGAGGTGGATATCCCGAAGTTCTAGTGAGAAGCGCTGACCTGTGGAGTCAACCAGTCGAAAGTGAAGCGGATGCCAACTGAAAACCTTGGGTGATAGTCATGCTATACCCCGGATCTATAGAAGTTGGTGACTCTGGACCATTGAACTGCAACCCAATGGTTTACTCGTTCACTGTGAAACCTTGAGGTCCTGAGTTCGATCCCTGGCCGAATTGGAGTCATGGGCGTGTACTGCTCAGGACTCCCATACAACAACGAAACAGCTGTCCAGCATTCCAAGGTTTTCAGTGGTTCTCCTCTAATTGATGTCAATCCTCGATGATTGCTACCTTAAAAATAAAATCCCCATGGACGTTAAACTATTATTATCCTTATTATTATTGTCATACACTTGAAATTTCAATTACGAATGTTCAGCTTGAAAATAAATTCTTTGAAAAGAGTCTCTTAACCTAATATCTTGTTCTTAATAAGCTGAGCTTTTAATATCCCTTCTATACTTGTTTCACTTCAGTTAGGGAAGAAAGGGCTGTTCTTCATGTAAATCATAAGTGTGGGCTACTTCTTTACTGCTATCACCTTCATGATATGGTGACTGTTATTAATTATGTCTACTTTATCATCTAACTATTACGGTTTCAGCTACGCATATGTTGTTATGTTCGGGACGTTTTAGTTCTGAAAATAATGTACATTGATATCTACTTCTCATTTACTCTACACACTGCTTTATTTTAAGCTCTTGTTTTGCTTTCCTGCAACACATTTTATTGATAACATTATTGTTCGTTCATAAATCGTAGGGAATGTATACAACTGAGTAAGATGAATCGTTGTAGACCAACCACCATTGAAGTGCAAAGTATTTTCGCAAGATTGACAAGAACCTGTATTTGCGCTCACCCTCGGTGGTGAGCCGTTGGAAGTAGTCGAAAAGTTTGTGTATCTGGGTAGTTGTATGAGGGCTCCTGTAGGTGCGAGTGATGAAATTTCCAACCGATAACGAAAATCAAAGTGATATAACCCAATCTGAGCCACCTTCGGCGCAGCAGCGACTTTAGTCTGACCGTAAAACGTTGGGTTTACAATGCTTCGGACCGAGCCGTTCTGCTCTACACCTGTGGAACCAGGCTTCTCCGAGATGAGGATCTGCGATGACTCTGTGTTCCATCCACCTTCGTCCCTGTACGATTGCTCGTATCTGATGACAGCTCTATCTAAGTAATTTTGAGGTACGACTGCGTGTGTTTGGCCATGGTGGCGATCATCACTCAATAATGAAGCCATCTAGAAACACTGGCTTCGGTGGTTTGGACATGTTTTATGCATGTCGTCCCAACAGCTACAATACCGTTTATTGTTTACTAACCCTGCGACTGAAATGAATAAGCGGAAGGGTGGTCAGTGTGTGACGTGACGCCGTGCGATGAGGTTAGCATCTGTTGGTGTACCCCACCTCCCTGAATGTGGTCTGAGAGATCACGAAACTTACGTTTAAGACGTTATCAGATATGAGTCAGAATCAAAACCAGTGGCGGTCATGCCAAAAATAAAATAATGCTTTGTTTTGAATGTATCTTATCGGACAACCTTTTCAATAATTCTATTCTTATTGTGTTTTTCTTATCCACTTCCTTTTGCTTTATGTTTTCATAATGTCGTTATATTATTTTGTGTGGGGCATTTCTTCTAGCCCTTGCTGTATTGTTTTTCTTCTTATATTGATGTAACCACTCGCACTAATCAGCAGCGCTTGTTTGTTGGATCAAGTTCAAACGACTGTTACACTCGTTTGAGACCTAGTTGATCAGCGATGTTCCCAAACTCATTCAGATCAGAAAGCTGTTGAATCGTTCAAACTACTGCTGATTGTCATCGGTACCCTGCAACTACTCATGTCAATCAGTAGTATATTTCATACAACTTTCATTTGCAAAGTATTGACAACAATTGTTTGTAGTTAAGCAGATAAAATTATGTAATATAAACCATCATTTAAAACTTATTTTGTATTATTTTTTTTCGTTTATCCACAGAGAACTCCCTCAAGATAACGACTCATGCATTAATGCAAAAATTGAAAAGTTTCTTAATTCTTCTGATCCAGTCATTGAATTAATCGATCAGACAAGTTATCTACAACAATATCCAAGCTGGCTTGGATTTTGTGGCCCTGAGAATAAAAAGAAATTCTCTCCTACCTATATTAATCGAAATGATAATATATGGGGTAAGTGTGAAGTAGTTTCCCAGTATTTCAATTTTCTATATTCGTGATTATTGAAGTTGATTAGTACAAGTAGTAGTTCATTGTTTTGAACTTATTCAGTTAATTAACCATGGGTTCACTTCACTTTTCATCGATCGTTTTTCGTACAAGAGTTTGAAGTTTATGAAAAAGCACTCTAATGTAACATTCAAAGTTTGAAGCATGATACTTCAGTGAGCTGTACTGAAAACTATCAAATTCATAATTTAATTTAGAGTTTTATGGGATTCACTAATCGATTTCAAGTTGTCATATTCATTTTGTGACCGACAGAGGAATCTAGGACGTATGTTTTGTCATATTTCATCATCATCAACTATCAACATAGGACCAGAGATTACTGCGTAACAGTTCGAGTTGTCACCACACCTCATATCACTACACCAAGTAAAAAGGCAATAAAATAGAAGATGAAGAAAGAAAAGTCACTCGAAAGAAATATGAAGTACTGAAAGAGAGAAAGGGAGAATGGGAAAATGATGAGATTTGGTATAGCGTCGTTAAGATGAGGAAATGTGTGTGTGTGTTTGTGTATACACCTGAACCACTGACATCGGTTCTCAGACATGTCATCACTAGACTCAGTCTCCAAACACTTGTTGATCTTTTCCTACCGACTCCAACCACCTAGTCTGCATCACCCCACATGGTTCAAGCCAACAGTCAAGCACTTTATACATTGATGTCATTTTTAGTCTGGCTGAGAGTCTCCACCATGTGCCTACTTCGGTCAACATTGTGTGACTAGGTATACGTAAGACATGACCAATCACCTCAGTCGATGAAGGTTCGCGACCGTGTCAAGTGATTTACCTCTTCTCTTTAAAACTCTGAGCGTGACTTCTGTGTTACTGATGTGGTGACACCATGGAATAAGGGCAATGCTACGAAGGCGACGGCGGTCAAATACCTGAAGCCTTCTCATGTCTCCCACGTCCAACTGAGGTTTGAACCCATTATCTTTCGCTTCAAATGCCAGAGCGTTATCCACTGAGCTACTAGGACACGATAGCTATCTCTTGTACAATGACTACCAGTTGTTTTAATGATACTTGTAATTTCCCGTTGTTATGCAATGGCATATTGGTTGATCTCTGTTGATATTCATCTCTGACTGACTGGTATCTTTTGGAGAACTATTGGAAACCTGAGAGGATTGAACAGCTGTTTCTTCTTTGTACTGACCTCGTTAGCAATGCACATCTATGTCCCTGCAAGGTGTCACACTCAAGAGTGACAGGTTCTGCGACCAGGACGTTACCGTTGAGTCACTTAATCGGAATCCAGTGGTCCATATTTTCTACTTCTTTCAGTTCACGATATAGCATGACCTCTATCTACTGTGGTCATTGATTAACTATTTTTATGTTCAACTTGATTGACCCCACCGGTTACTCATAGGTATGTCTTTCATCCTTCCAATTGTCAATACAATAAAGATTAACTGTATTGAAGGCAGTTAATCTTTTTATGTACAGGTGTCTACATATCCTCTAATATATTTAGCTTGTACTCTTACCGTCCGTCGTGTAATCCGATTATTTTGGTTCTATTCCATTGTTTTGTTATAATCAGTGGTAGTCAGTATAATTTATATAATATAAACATAGAACTTGGTCAATATTTGATTTATTCACTTGATTGTAATATGGCACATAGTGTTACAGTGCTACTTAGTGAATGATGTTTTAGTTATTACCTGTAGTCATATTAGTTCACAGTATGATGTATAGCATTTTCGTATAACTGAGTAACCGTCATGGGTAGTACTGAAGGGTAAACTAATTAGCAGTAGCTCTTACTGTAGTACTAATGAATATGCATATATTCCCAGAGAGGATATGGTCATCATCTTGACCTGCCTTTTTTCATATGTGAAAGTCATTTTTTTCCCCACTGTTTCAATGAAAATATGCATATAACGTCGTCATCTTTTACTGAAAAATATAGTTGCTCATAAATAAACAGGCCAAAGAATAAATTTACAGCAACATGCTTTTTAAATTTACCAGTGGTAATCAGTTTTATTTCTGGGAGATTGTATTTTGCTTGTGCGAAAAAACCTCAACCAAACTTTCTTGCCTAAGCGCAAGGCTAACCGATTTTAATTTGAAGCGTTGCTAAAAGCCGAGAAGCACTGCCTGTCGTCTCCAAACTGCCAGTATTCATTTTTATCCTCCAAGCCCCCACGTTGTGACACCTACGATAATCATCAGACTATAAACATTTTTACCAGTTGCGTCTGAAATATTGCTTGCTGTTATACTGTATAGACTTTTCGAAACATGCGTAAAACTTGTTCACGAAGACCAGGCCAAGTTTAATTCACCTCATGGATGTATTGTTCAGATGCTCGAACATTGTCATGTGTATTGCAGGTCAATGATTGTTGTATATCTTGATTTTCGGACTGCCTTCGATTCGTTGGTTAGGCTTGTGGTGGGAAATTGTTTATTACAGAAAGGTGTCACTGAGAAGTTTGTTTGCCTCTTGAAAGGCCTATTTTTTGACACCTCAGATCATAAGGGCCCATAGCCACTTCTATCTTTGGTGGGTGTTAACGATTTATCCATTCCTTTTCAGCTTACCTTCGATGATATTCTCGAGACAGCTGTTAAGCTAGTATGAGATGATTGTGACGATTCGCAACCATGTTAAAGATTATGAATGCATGGATGATATCGTTTAACTGTGCAGTAGCACACAGACCACTGATATTGCACTAAATAGGTGATTATTATCCTTATGTATGGTATATGTATGTGTCTCCGCTCATTCTTAGCAGTGAAAAGACGGATTTTATTGAAACGTTCTTGTTGCGTTCGCCCTGGTGGAGGTATGATTGATGAGATTTTTAATAGTACGTTTAAAGCCAGAGTGATGTATGCTCTCTTTAACGCCGTCGTAACGTTAACCACGCTGCAAGAAGATCACTTATAGGTATGAACAGTTCTGTTTTACTCCTGAAAAAGTTTACCTGTTTCAGTTTGACAACTCTGTATTTGATTACTGATGTTTCCACAGGACTACTCAAATTGGATGGAAACAATGCGTAATTAATTCTGAGGTGAAGTAATTTGTGTTTGGGCGTTATACAGATCGCCATTCATTGGGTGAAGTAGTCTTGAAATACCGACTTAGAAGGTTGCTACGAATGTGCTGTTGATATCTTGCATAAAGTCATTTGTTTGCCAGTCTGGGAACTGTTTGGAAGAGGTAGCGAGAGTGGGTCAGTGTGTGACATAGTGCCTTGGGACAAGGGATAGTTGTGTAGGGTTTGCATCTGTTGGTGTTTCATGACTCCCTGGATGAGGCGAGAGAGATGACACAATTGAGAGAGGCTTGAGATGATAATAGACATCGTTGAGAATCGCAACCAGTGGTGATCAGTGTTGTGTCTCTCTTATCGATATACAAAGATGAGTATCGAACGTTTGTTTTTTGTAATTGTCTTTGAAATTCTCTAATAAATATTCTGTTGCATCTTCATTCCACTCCCCTTCTTTTATATTTCTTACGTCATCTTGATGTTACTATATTATTTCGTATTATGCGTATCTTTGTGTTCATATTTGACCAAGATTATGATTGAAATGAAATGAAATTAAGGCCTATTTAAAAGGCTACCTCTAGATGGTTTCTAATGATTTCTTGACATGCAGCAATGCTAAGGCCGTAAGTAGATTTTATTTTTTGTAGTGTCTACATTAGTGTTATTCATTAACTATTGATACACAGGTAACTTCGTTTATCTAGTGAAATGATTGATTTGTTGAGATGACTAACTATTTGTCGGATCACCATTTTGCTGCCCTACAATCCTTGACAATGTCGTATTGATGATGTCGTTCTATTTAGGAGATATAACGAAGCCATAGGTCTTTAAGTATCAGTATCTTCATAGTTTTACTTGTTCGTGATGATATCATCGAGTGACCAATGTTGAAATCAAGTGTTGAGTTCTGGGAAATGAAGACAATTTAAGTCGTAGAGATTGTGAACTTGTACAAACTAAACTGACTTGAATCTTGGTTATGCATCCTGAGCTATCGCTTACCTCGATGCATGATTCTATTTGAAATAGAATTATTTTCATAGCAGTTAAGGGTGACCATAGCAACAGATAGAATTCATCCATGAGGTCACTGACAGTTTATTTGGTCTATGTAGGTAGGTATAGGCTTCTTTACAGTTGTATTTCTGATTATGGGAACCAACGTTGTGAAGTCTCTTATGACATAGTGTTCAAGACTTTTCATATTGGTGCATATGGATTCTTCAAAATTTTGAACAGTTTCACCACCCCTTCATATATTTACTCCTTCTCTCATATCATACATTTTTCGTCTTTTCGTTGTCAATACGAAATCAGTCGTCATTTGGAAGTTGAACTATATCAATAGATTCACCTCTTTTGATCGGTTATCATTCAGTCACATAACTAACTACGTTTATCCCATTCCTTCATTATTATTGATAAATCGTGTCAGTTTCATACAATCTTTTGTTGAATGGACACCATACAACCATGTTCAGCTTGCTCGTGACTCCGTCACCCAACCTTTTCAAGTCTTCAATTTTGATCAGTTACTGATCATCCATCTCAGAACTCTTTCCATTATACTGGAACACTCGCCTTCTTGTAGGATCTTCACATATTCAACCTCAAGCTTATCCATACTGATCATTGAGAATTCATTTTTCACTAGTGTAATTAGAAGGCAAAGTTTATCTGAACAAACTGTGTGTTGTATTTGTGCAATGCATTTCAAACAGTCCAATCACACATTTACTTGTTAAGTCAATATATATATTAAAACGAAGAGTGAGAGGACAAATGCAACAATTAACATAATAGGGGGTTAAAATTAAGAAAGATGAGAACAAACAGGGAGTGATGTAGTTGATCCTAATTTTGGTAAGAGAAAGTTTACCAAGGAGTAGGTGTAGTGTAAAAACAA